GGCCGGGGCCGGCGAGCTTGTGCTCCCTCCTTCCCAGCTCCCCGTCCCCGCCCTCGGAGGCGCACGCCCAAGCCAGGCCCTGACTCACGGCCGCCCCGCCGTCACTGCCCTGCCCCCGCCCCGCCACCCCCACCCTGTGTGGTCTTGGGCAAGTCACTTCCCCTCTCCCCGCCTCGTTTTCTCATCCGGTGAAGGGACTTAGAATTAGCCGTCTGGGAGGCGTGTTGCTGGGGAGAGTGTCGGGCCGGTGTGAGAGGCCCCGGCTGGTAGCTGTCTGAGCAGCTGCAGGACTGATGGACCAGGACCACAAAGAAACCGAGCCCAGCCTTGCATCCAGCGGTGGGGGTGGACACCACACGGTTCTAGAGAAGTAGGAATGAGGTGGGCAGTGCTGGTGACAACAGGAGGCTGGGCAGGAGTGGAGGTGATAGTTGACCTGGTTCCGAGAGGGTCATCCTGGACTACAGGGTGGGAGAGTGAGCAGAATCTAGCTGAGGTCAGTGTAGCGTCAGTCTGGGTCTGCAGGGTCCAGCAGCCCAGGCTTTGGCTGGGGTCAGGAGTCGGGCCAGGGCCGAGGAGACAGGCAGGTGTTCCTAACTACCCACGCAAGCAGACTTGACCCTATGCCCAGGCAGCTACACTGCTCTGCTCTGCTCCCATCTGAACTCCCTGACTGGGGTCCCTGTGTGTCCTCTCCAAGCTGGGAGGGCCTGAGTCACCAGCGGGAATGTGGCCATCGAGGGAAGGGGATAGCAGCCAAGGGCACTGAAGGTGCATTCCCCCTAGGCTCCCTGACACAAGCTGTAGGGGTGCTGGGCAGGCACTTGTGAGTGGAGAAGGAGTCAGTGAGTCGGCTAACAGACAAGGCTGGGCCTGTGCGGGGCTTGAGGAGCTGGGCCTCACACGGGGGAGTGGACCTGGCCTCTTACAGCTGTGCTGATGGCAGAGTGGGGGCACGGTTGGGCCTGGACAGAGGCTGAGGGCTGCCCCTAACTGAGACCACCAAGGCAGGGCCTGGATGCCAGGCAGAGGTATTTGAGCTGAGCCAACCGCACAGCTGGGTGTGTGGGTGTGCCCTGGGGCTGAGAATCCGACCAGAGACAGCACTGAGGTTCAGCATCCGCCCTGATCACAAGTTGGTCGTCACAACACTTTTGTCGTCGGGGGCTTTTACTAGCTCCATTCTAGAAGTGAGGAAATTGAGGCACAGAGTGGCAAAGTGACTTGTCCGGGGTCACACAGCTGGTGAGAGGTGGTTGTCTTGCTTCCCAAAGGCTCCCATGGGCAGTGGGAGCCACAGAGGGTGGTAGAGCAGGAGTGCCCCTTACCAGACCAGCCTCACCATGATGTTCCCCCCAAGGGTGGCTACTTCCCTGAGAATGTCAAGGCCATGACCAGTCTGCGATGGCTGAAGCTAAACCGCACTGGCCTCTGCTACCTGCCAGAGGAGTTGGCCGCCCTGCAGAAGCTGGTAAGAAGTTCTGGGCAAACGGGGAGGGGCTCTGTGGGTGGGGCTGGCTGGGTGGGCAGAGCTTGTGCAAAAGGCAGAGACACAGAAGAGGCTGCTGGCTGCCACAGGCAGAGCTGGTGGAGAGGGAGTGAGCACCCTATGCCAGGACGTGTGCAAGGAGGGAACCTGCAGCAGTGGACAGGGCCTGTGCGGCGAGGGCCCCCTGGATGGGGCACAGTTGTGGTGGCAGGTGGGGGCCCTGTCGATACATCCACCCCAACTGCGCTGAGTCTCTGCTCCCCTGTCCCCGCCCAGGAGCACTTGTCTGTGAGCCACAACAGCCTGACCACACTTCACGGGGAGCTGTCCAGCCTGCCATCGCTGCGGGTGAGTGCCGCCTGAGGCCACGGAAATCAGGGCATGGTGTGGGGGTAGGACCAGACTCCAGGCTCGGCCGGCCCCTCTGTCCACCCCACATCAGGCTCAGCGGTCTGCTCCTAAAGGGGCGAGAACGCAGTAATGCCCTGGATTAAGTAACCCATGGGGGAAAAAGGTTAAAAAGTCCAAAATTCCACCTATCTTGAACGACAGTTATAGTAACAGCTGACACCAGCTAAACGCTGTTCTGTCTGTTCTGTGATTTTTTCATGTAATCGTGGTTTTCACCGAGTTTGCAGATGAGGACACTTGGCCACGGAGGCAGGTCACCTGCCTGAGGTCACACAGCCAGGCAGTGGCAGAGCTGGGGTAGGGTGAGGTTTGGCTGGGAGGGGAGGTAATCAGGGTAGTCCACTCACCCCTCTGTTCTCCGTGGAGCTCTAACGTCCCCGAACATCAGGCCCCCCCAGTTCCTTCAGGCCTCAGTGGGAGTCATTGCCATCCAGGGCTGAGCCTTGAGATGTTAAGGGCACAGCCTCTGGGCTCAAGCTGTCCAAGTTCAGATCTGAGCTCTGCCACTTCCTGGCTGTATGACCCCTTCTGCTTTGTGAGACGGTCCAGCGCTGACCACGGTGACACGGTGAAGTGGCACCACCAACTTTGGTGCTGAGGGAGCAGCAGTGGTGGCCCCTGTTACTTCTGTTGTCACTCAGGGTCATGGCACTGTTCCCTGGCCTGTCCCTTCCCCCTCAGCCGTCCTGCATAAACTTCCTGCACTTCTGAAGCCTCCCTGAGGGCAGAGGAAACAGCTTTGTTCTCGGTTCACACTCTGATTTTTCTTCTGTTTGAAACTCTGACCCAGAGTCACCTCTATCTCGCCCTTCGGATTTGGAAGAGAGAGGGACTACTCCATCAGAAGAGCTTCCCTGGGGCCCCTGTGCTGGGCTCTGGGGCACACTTGAGTTGGGCTTTGGGTTGTGAATAGGAGCTTGCCAGGTGAAGGGACTGTGAGCAAAGGCCAGGGTGGGAGACCCCTCAGGCCTGGCCTTTGGTGGGCTCCAGTGCGGAGGTGTCCCACCCAGGTTTCTGCTTTTCCTGGGGTGGAAGCCAGGAATCACGGACTCTCGTGGTCTATCCCCAGGCCGTCGTGGCTCGGGCCAACAAGCTGAAGAATTCCGGAGTCCCTGATGACATATTCAAGCTGGATGATCTCTCGGTCCTGGTGAGTAGTTACCCACCACCTGGCCCTTGTGCCGGCCCCACTATCCAGTCCCCACCTGCTATGCTGGTCCCCAGGGCCCTGTCATCCTATTTTCCAGTGAGGGAAACTTGAGACTTCGGGTGGGCAGTGCCTCGCCCGATGTCACTTGTGGAGTCAGATCCCTGGCCGAGGCTTCCTTCCTCCCAGAGTCCTGCTGTCTCCCTTTAGCCCTGAAACCCCCTCACCGACTTCCCTCTCAGCCCCTATCCTGATCCGCCAGCCTGGCAGAGGCCTGGCGGGGTGGGGCCAGCCCCAACAGCCTTGACCCCCCTCGCCCCTCTACCCAGGACTTGAGCTACAACCAGCTGACCGAGTGCCCGCGGGAGCTGGAGAACGCCAAGAACATGCTGGTGCTGAACCTCAGCCACAACAGGTGGGGGGCGGGGCGGGGTGGTCTGGGGGGAGGGGCGGTCCTGGGGGGTGCGGCCTTGACCCGGAGGTCCCTCCCTTCCACCTGCAGCATCGACGCCATCCCCAACCAGCTCTTCATCAACCTCACCGACCTGCTGTACCTGGACCTCAGCGAAAACCGTCTGGAGAGCCTCCCCCCGCAGATGCGCCGCCTGGTGCACCTGCAGACGCTTGTGCTCAACGGGAACCCGCTGCTGCACGCCCAGCTCCGGTGGGCGCCTCCTGCCCGCTCTGCACAGCCGGCCCTGGGGCCCCAGCCTTCCTCAGTGTCAACCCCCTCACCCTCGTGCCTGTCTGCATGACCCACGGCCGCCCTGTCCCCAGCCAGTAGGCCCCCTTGGTCCCAGCTCTCTGCCTGCCCCTGACCTGACCGCCATGTCTCCTGCAGGCAGCTCCCGGCCCTGACGGCCCTGCAGACCCTGCACCTGAGGAACACCCAGCGCACCCTGGGCAACCTGCCCACCAGCTTGGAGGGCCTGAGCAACCTCGCAGGTCGGCAGGCCCTTTGCTTCCTTGTGGAGGGAGGGCTGACCCTGCTTCCCTGGGCACCTCCGGGGGAGGAAGGTGTGATTGTGTCCTGACCCCCGTCATTACATGACAGCTGGCTCAGGGAGGCTGAGTCATTCGCCTAAGGCCACAAAGCCTGGGGGTAGGGGAGTTGGGGTTCACGCAGGCCTGGCTGCCCTGGAATCTGCCACGGGGAGC